AAAATTATTAAGATAAATTTGGAGTCAAATTGATATTTTCCACCTAAATTTTATTACATAAAAAAAGAAAAAAAAATATTAATGATAAAAATGGGAAAAAATCAAAAGTGTATAAATTTCAAAAAAGTGTAGAAACGCAGCGTTTTGGTGATTTGTTGATTGGTAAGTAAGTGGGCCCTAGACTAGGAATATGTTTATCTGTTAACCGTACACGTGTCAAAAAATTGACGGTTAACATTGATGTATTATTATTTAAAAAAAAAAAAAAAAGAAGATTTTTGCGATTTTGGACAACGTGTTTGGCAGTGTTATTTAAAATAACGCAAATAATTGTGTCATCAACCGACAAAAATTTCACGTGGATGCTTTTATTCTCCGTTTAAATATTTTTTATTTTAATTTTTTTTGATAGATCTATCGAAAATAAAAATTATTATTTTATTTTATTCGATTTAGTTAGTTTATATTTTTTTGTTGTTAGGTATTAGTTAGTATCGTGTATCCGTCATTATAATAATCTCAATTCAAATTGAGTAATAATATTTTCATATTTATTCACATTTTTTAATAGTAGATATTGTATCAGTTTATTGGTATAGATAATAACTTTTAATTCTTTTAAATTCGTCTCTACTATCATATTCTCTAAATCGATGTCATTTGAATGTGCCATCCATTTATTCCGTATTTCTCATTTACTCGAGTGTCAATTGATTAAAAAAAATAATAAATAATAATAAATAATAATAATAATAATAATAATAAGCCCACTTTGGGAATGGGCCAAGATTTTGGGCTGGGCTTCAACAAATGACTTTTAGCACATAGAATATTGTTAAAATTAAATATAAATATAAATATAAATATAAATACAAAAAATTAAAATTATTTTTTTTTTCTTAAATCAAAATTTTTATATTTATATTAAAGTCGGTATTATGTTTAAAAATACCCATATCACACAATTATAAAATTTAGATAATTTTTTTAAGTTTTTTTATTAACGTTTACGCACAATTATAAGATTTAAATAATTTTACATATATATATTAATATATCTAAAAAATTAAATATAAATAATATATAACACAAATTACTGTTAAAAAATCTATAATTCGAAAACTCACCTTTCCAATTTCTTTAACTAAAAAAATATAAAAAATGCTACATATTTAAAATAATAATAATGAATGATTTAAATGTTACAATCACAATTATTTAAAAAAAAATATTTAAATTTCTCTCTAAATTATAAATTTATGAAAATTAATATGACAAGTTAAAGTATGTTGGTGACAATTAATTATAAATAGTTAATTAATTTTGGGTATTAAATTAATTAGTTAATTATGGATATTAAATTATTAATTAATCATCACTAATAATAACGGTATTGAATGTGAGAAGTTAGAATACAAAAGGTTTTATCTTTTATTTTCCAACCATTTATTTATTTTTTCTTTAATTATAATTAATAATAGAATTTAAAATAATAATAACAATCATAATCATAATAATAATAATAATAATTCACACCCCAATTCTAAAAAGAAATTAAATTATTATTATTTTTTTTTTTTTTTCTGGTTGGGGATCTTCATTCATCGTGTGATTGTAATTGCTCGGAGAAGTTTAGTTATCTATAAATGTCGGAATTCCATTGGAATTTAGTTCTTGGATTTCTTCCAGTTGCCGTCCGATCTTAGTTTATATCAAAGCATATGCTGCAACTGCACAGCATATCCACAGCACCCACCTTTACAAATCGCCATCAACAACAACCCCCGTCAGCGCCGCCGCGAACTCCCAAAATTATGGACAATACAATCGTAGTTCTAGTCACCGGCTGCGCCAAAGGCGGCATTGGCTACGAATATTGCAAAGCATTTTCCGAACAGGGCTGCCATGTCTTCGCCACCGACCTTCCCCAACGTGCCCACCAGGTGTTCGACGAAAGTCCCCACAGAGTTGAAACGCTTGAACTCGACGTGACATCTGATGAAAGTGTAGCAAAAGCAGTGGAGACTGTAATTTCAAAGTGTGGACGCATTGATATCTTGGTAAACAATGCTGGGATCGGTAGCAGCGGCCCGCTCGCGGAGCTTCCGTTGCAGGCTGTGAAGAAGGCTTGGGAAGTAAACACGCTTGGGCAGCTGAGGATGGTGCAGCAAGTGGTGCCCCATATGGCCTCTCGTGGCAGTGGAGTCATTGTCAATGTCGGCAGCATTGTAGGGAACGTGCCGACACCGTGGGCAGGGTCGTATTGTGCTAGTAAGGCAGCTGTTCATGCTATGTCGCATGTGCTGCGACTCGAGCTTAAGCCGTTTGGTATCAATGTAGTAATGGTGGTACCTGGGGCCATAAGGTCCAATTTTGGGAGCGCCACGGTCGAGAATGTGAGAAGCCAAGAATGGAAGCTTTACAAGAAGTTTAAGGAAGCCATAGAAGAGAGGGCAAATGCATCACAGAGTGGGAGATCAAGTGATGCAGGGGATTTTGCAAGAGATGTTGTGAAGAAAGTGCTGAGGAAAAGGCCGCCAAGGCGAATTGTTTTGGGGCATTTGAGTGGCTTGTTAACCATCATGTCTTGGCTTCCACTTTGGGTGCAAGATCTTTACTTCTCCTACCTCTTCAACTTGAATAAAAAGGTATGAAACTCGATCATATGATATGCTACGATACGATATTATTCATCCTTGTTTTTGCATAATACTCGTGTTTATGAAATTCTTCTCTGTTTTGATGTTATGATATTATGATATTATTCATCCTTGTTTTTCCATGATGCTCGTATTTATGAAATTCTTCTCTGTTTTGATGATATGATATTATTCATCCTTGTTTTTCCACGATGCTCATGTTTATGAAATTCTTCTTTATTTTGATGATATGATATTATTCGTCATTCAATTCATTGCATTCTTCTTTCGAGCGGATCTGTCAGCTTCTAGTTATTGATTTTCATCTACAGAAAGGAGTGAATGAGGTAATTTTAGTCGTTTTAGTTGTTTATGAGGTGGAGAGGCTCCAACACAAGTAGGTAAATTCATCGTTTTTGCTGGAAAGACAAACATATATTAAAAAAAGACATAATCCCATACACAACATAGAATTGCTTTAAGTAAAACATATTTAACTATAGAGTTCTTGTGATTGAGTCACAGAAAATTTTTTATTTATACCAACAATGTGTATTTTCTTTCTATATTGAACGGAAAGCATTATAAATACAATATTTATTTAGATCTTAAAGTTTTGAGTTTTACACAAACGATAGTAATTTTTACATCAAATTTCTACTGACACAAAAATTAAGGATGATTTTGAGATTAAACGATTAATCTTCACCGATTTTATTATATATTTATTAAAAATATATATATATATATATATTTTTTTTTTTTAACCTAATGGAGCAATATCTTTAGTCCCTAAAGTTTCATAAATATATACTTTTTATTTAGAGACCTTTTCAAAATTAATTTTCTACTAGGAAAATTTTCATTTATTTATCTAACATATAAAATTATCCAAAAATGTCATATCAAATTAAAAAAAAAAAAAGAAAAAAGAAAAAAGTATTTATGTCCCTAATAAAGGAGGTCAACTTCCGCAAAGTGATTATTTATAAAATATAATATAATTTGTAAATATATTTAAATTTTGTGAGACCATGTATCGTGGATGAATATGAATTTTTTTAATCATTAAAAAATAACCCGACAACCTAACCTGAAAATTGAGCGTTGGGTTCAGTCATAAACTCTTCGAATTTTTTGATTCACCAACCTAACTAACTTGAAATTTCGGGTTAGTCTGATTTTTTTTTCTTCCTTAATCCAACCAATATGTATATACCGTAGGCGAATATTTTATTAATTGAATATAATATATTTTAACGAATTGAATTATAATTAAATTAGTTTATTTCACATATTTTCGATGATTTTGGGAGCAAGATATTATAATTTTTGGATGAGGGGAAATAATGGAGTGGTGATAAGCGGACACGTGGCATCCACGATTGATGGAGACAGAGTTGTGGCCGTACTGTTGGTGGGACTGACGGGACATAAAAGTAATTAAAAAAAAAGGGAAAAAAGAAATATCCAATGGATTGATTGAAAAAAAAAAAAGATGCCACGTGTTATTTTCTTAGTGAGTAAGAAAGTCGACGTGGCACCTCTATTCAGTTGTCCACTTGGCATCTTCCCACCAATATCTGTCTGTCTACTCAGCAATTACTTTTAAATAATATTTGAAAAAGATTATAAATGGGCACCAAAATATTCAAATTCTCTTTAATATCCTAACGTGTTTTTAAAAATTATAAATAAAAAATCATTAATTATTTTCTAAAAAATTAGAGGTTTGAATCTTATGATATATATATATATATAATTTGAGACAACCCTTCTAGATAATCTTCTTTGAGACGACCCTTTTAAAGAGGGTTACAATACAACTCTATCCTACTTACTTTTTGAAGAAAATTATGAAGACTAAGCACATTTAACGTTTGTAGTCGATATTAGTGATACTTTATGAACAATTGTAAACTCTATTCGGGTGTTCGGGTTGTTGGATGATAAAAGTCCCACATCGACTAATTTAGAAAATAATCATGAGTTTATAATCAAAGAATACTCTCTCTATTCACATGAGGTCTTTTGGGGAAGCCCAAATCAAAGACATGAGAGCTTATGCTCAAAGTAAACAATATCATATCATTGTAGAGAGTCGTGTTCGTCTAACATGGTATCAGAGTTATGCCATAAACTTAGTTAAATATTAAATTATGAATAATATTCTATTTTTCAAATAATAATTTTTAAATGGTCTTCTAGACAAAAGGCTTCAAATTGCAAAATTTTTAAAGAGAAAATAAAGTAAATGGAATATATGAATTAAAGAGAAAAATAAAAATAAAATGTTTTAAAATTTCGACTATAAATACCAGTCCTACTAAAAGCATTCAAAGCAATAAAGCTAACTTTCTCATTTGATTTTTCTCTCTGTTTCCATGCTTCCATTCACCAATTTCTTTGCTGCATCGTCCTGTTTCCTGGAAGTGATTCCACCGGAGATGATCGTTGCGGTTGAATCGAAGAATTTGACGGAGGAGGAGTTTGTTTACTTGTGACATTGATTTGATTTTTACGAGGTCGTTTTTGTAAATTTTGCTGTGGTTGTTGCGGAATTGATTTTGTTTCTTTCTGGAAATGGAATCTGTCAATTTCTACGATGTAAGAGCAGCGAAGATGAACGCGATTCTCAAGTATCGACAGGTCAGGAAAATCGCTAATCTGTTTCGATTCATCGAGTTGTGCTTGATTCTCGTTGTGATGACGAGATTTTCCAGCAATCTGCCGAGCGCCTTCAAGAACTCTGGCGAGTACTTCCGGTGCTTGTCGGTGACATTGATCAGTCCTCGCTTTGTGTTTCTGATCGGAAACGCTATTGTAATCACTTTGTTTGCCAAATCTGGACAGTTCTCTGCTAAGGATCCGAGCAAGAAGAATTCGGTTGCCGATCTTTACGAAGAGTTCGTTCAAAACAGTGAGAAGAATCAGAAAACTCGCCGCGCCGAGATCGAGTATCGCGTCAAACAGATCGATGACAGCCGCGGCAACGGCAACGGCAACAGCGATACCTCAATCGCAATAAAAAAAATCGGCGAAATCAAACATTATCAGAGGAGTGAATCGGAGAAAATAGGCGTCGTACAGCGAGAAAATCCGCATCGTGAACTTCGCCGATCGGAGACGGAAAAGTATAAGAAAATCGTCCGATTGAGTGAAGAAACAAGAAATAGGTCGAGTCCAGAAGATCGGATGAGCAACGAAGAGTTTCGACAGACGGTGGAGGCGTTCATAGCGCGGCAGCAGAGGTTGAGAAGGGAGGAAGAATTCTGTGTATTTTAGGAATTAGCTATAAGTAAATCAAATCTTCCGCATCTCGTAAATCCTGCAAGTGATTACCGCTACGAGTTGAATCTTACTTCAAAAGAGAGAAGAAGAAGAAGAAACTGAGAATTTCTTCTCCATTTTAATTTTATTTTTACATATTTGAATGAAATCTACCACTCATCCATCCAAAAGTGTTCTTGCTGTTTCTATAAAGCCCTAAATCATTCCTTGATGTTTCATAAACATTTAATTTTTTTAGTTTAGATTAAAATATTTGAACTGAGACATAAAATCATATCAACATACCTTTTAAAATATTTATAAAAAGTCGAATAATATTGAATATTATCCCAAAGTATTTATATGGAATTATTATAATATTTTTTCAAAACAATCAATAATTACAATATTTTTATAACTTTCCATATTCGTCATGTTTATTAAATAATAGACATGAATTTCGTAAAAACTTCTAATCTCTTGGTCGATGATATATGTTTTATATCATATATATCAACTTGATAAGAGAGTTGTTATAAAATACAAAAGTTGTTACACGATAATGTGAGGTAGAGCATCTCTTTATACTTATGAAACTAAATTAATATTCATAAATTAAAGAATGTGTGACATATATAACATTGTATCATAATCCACTAAATGGATTTGAATCCAATTCTAATGAGATTTGAGAATCCTCCCAATAAAATTTAGACCAAACATGCTATTGTTCCTTTCGAGTTCTATTAAGAAAATCTATAGGGACAAATTCGAAAAAAATATAGATCACGACTCGAAGAACTCGATTAGCCCAATTTAATTCGTCTTAATTAGGTTAGATTATTAACTTATTCGGGTTGAATTAGATTTAAATAAATGAAAAATTTATGAGCTGAATTAATTCATAAGTTCTCCTAAATTAGGGGAGTTACCGAACAAATTTAAATTTACCGACCCATGAACACTGTTAGCTAAAAAGACCTTTTTGGTGTCCTAACTTGACCTGACCTGACCAACCCAACCCATGAACACCGTCCACCAAAGAGATTTCAAACTCCTTTTAAACCTCTTAGTCAGTACACATCTAAATCAATTGAACATGCAACCAAGAATCATAAAAGCGTCTCAACTTTCCCCTAACTCAACAGAAAACGATATTATGACATAATCGGTATCACAAGGAGAATTGAAAATCTAAGGAATGAGATTTTATTTGGATAAGAGCTTAGAAGAAGGGCTTCTATTTTTCATTGAATGTGAAAGATAATGGTAATAATGGAAAGGGAATGTATTCAAAAGAGCTGTTAATTGGACAAAGAAGAAGGTGAAGAATATTCAATACAAAGGCAACCAACCAGTCCATGGAACAGAGGCATCCAATTCAATTCCTATCAGCAAACAAAGAACCTCGAATAAGAAAGGGCTTATAGATGCCGCACTTTTTTGGCTCATCATACAATTCGCCTACCATTTTCAAGACACAGCCTGGTCTCGGGTAGGTAGAGTGACCTTACCGTCATCGTCTATTAAAATTCAATCTTTTCATCGTACAACAAACTCAAGATCCTTTTATGAGATCTCACATCGATTGGAGAGCGTAATGAGTGCCAACGAGGACACTGGGCCTCGAACGGGGTGGATTGTGAGATCCCACACCAGTTGGAGAGGAGAACAAAACATTCTTTATAAGGTGTGAAAACCTCTTTATAACAAACACGTTTTAAAAATCTTGAAGGAAAGCCCAAAGAAAACAATATTTGCAGGCAGTGGGCTTGAGCTATTACAAATGGTATCAGAGCCAGACACCGAATGTTGGGCCTCAGAGGGTGGTTTGTGAGATCCCACATCACATGGAGAGGGGAACGAAGCATTCTTTATAAGAGTGTAGAAACTTCTCTCTAATAGACGCATTTTAAAAAACTGGAGGGAAAGCCCAAAGAGGACAATATCTGCTAACAGTGAGCTTGGGCCGTTACAAATAGTATGAGAGCCAGACACCAGACGGTGTGCCAACAAGGACGTTGGGCCCAAACGAAGGTGGTCTGTGAGATCCCACATCGGTTGGATAGGGGAACGAAACATTTTTTATAAGGGTGTGGAAACTTCTCCCTAGCAGACGCGTTTTAAAAACCTTAAGGGAAAGCTCGAAAGAAAAAACCCAAAGAGAACAATATCTACTAGCGGTGGGCTTAGCCCGTTACACCTTTCCTAATCTCCACGGCAACATCGCCACCATATGAACTTCGATACTACATTCCGTTTCCAAACGATTATTCAAAAGATATAGACTAAAATCCCTCGGCTTTGACGTAAACTCTAAAATATTTGGTCTAACGCCGAGATTGGTCGTCTCCTAACTTCATTGTTTCTCTAACATGGAATATGCAACATGTTCAATCAGGCAGAGACCGGGAAACAAAGGCGGGTTCGGCTATCTTTTAAGGTAACAACAACAACGTATACACAACAAAATCCATCAAATTCATCATCATTTCAAAATCAGATAAACTCCAAGAAAGATCGATCGAGATTGTATTATATTTGTACGTAGCATGGTATTATAATAGTACCGACCGTGTATTCGTGTGTGAAACCGTTCCATTTTTTCAATGAGAAAAAATCTATAGCAAATACAAAACCGACCTAAATCACTTTAGAACCAACCACAGGGACTAAAGGATTCTCACTACATATGACAAAGTATAAAGTATGTCCAATTAACACTTTTTATTTGCAGATCATATCAACCAAAGCTTCTGGTGCTCGTACCTGAAATATCGCTCAAAACGCTTCAGTACCATGGAATAACACGTACGCTTTCATACACCAGCTCTTCGACCTGGTACGATCAATTTCAAAACAACTCAAAACGGACATTTTCATGGTGATTATAGTGTTACTTGCCTCAAAATTTGGAGAATATGTGGTAGAAGGAACATAGTATCCTTTATCTGCTGGGGCAGCTAGATCAAGTTCTATACTGCCATTTTCATTGCTATCTTCTCATGAGGGTCATAACCTGTTAGCTCGAAATCAGCTGCCACGAACGAATCGATATCCTTCTTCTCAGGGTTTATTTTCAAAACCTACAATAAGGTAAGGCCGGTGTAATATTAAAAACAGCAAGTTAGTGAATGCGAGCATGGAAGAACCATGTAATTATAGTTTTCCGACTTACAGGGAACGGTTTGGGGAGTTTCTGAAGCTGTTCCTGCAATGGCCGCACGTGAGTACGGTAAACATGAGCGTCTCCGATCACATGTATGAAGTCTCCGTAAGCAAGATCTGCACGCAGGAAGAATAAACTTTTTAATGCAACTAAAAGTATAAATGTAGGTTCAGAATGTTTAAAGAGCCAAATAGATGTGTATAACGATAATTGAATCATTGTTCAGTTTGTCCAGTTACATATCGTCGTTAGCCTCACGGTTTTAAAACGTGTTTGTTAGGGAGAGGTTTCCACATCCTTATAAACAATGCTTTGTTCCCCTTTCCAACCGACGTGGAATCTCACAATCCACCCCCTTGGGAGCCCAGTGACCTCGCTGACACACTGTTCGGTGTCAAGCTCTGATACCATTTGTAAGAGTCCAAGCCTATCCCTAATAGATATTGTCCACTTTGACCCATTACGTATCATCGTCAGCCTCACGGTTTTAAAACGCGATTATTACGGAGAGGTTTCCACACACTTATAAAGAATGATTGGTTCCCCTCTCCAACCGATATGGAATCTCACATTAGTAGAAAGCAAACTACTGATCAATAAGGAGTAGCATACCACAAACATGAGCAATCATGCACGTCAGAAGAGCATACGATGCAATATTAAATGGAACACCAAGGCCCATATCAGCAGAGCGCTGATACATTTGACACGATAACTCCCCGTTCGCTACATAAAACTGCAAAAGGCGATCAATAAACAACGTTAAGGAAACAAGTTAAAGACACAGGAACATCATGCACTTGAGTCCAACCTGAGCGAACATGTGGCAAGGCGGGAGTGCCATCAGTTTGAGATCAGATGGATTCCACGCAGAAAGAACGATCCTCCGATCATTGGGATTATTTTTTATCTTGTTAATAACATCTAGCAACTGATCAAATCCTTGACCAGTGTAGTCAGCATGCATGTCAGTATACCTGTAGAAGAAAAGTCGAAAGCATTAGAACTCGAATCCTGCAATAAAATAAAAACGAACTTAAGAGATCGTCAAAGTTATCGACGAACCTAGCACCAAAGTGTCGCCACTGAAACCCGTATACAGGTCCCAAGTCGCCTTCCTCCCTTTCTCTTAAACCAATACTAAGATTACCCAAAAAAAAAAAAAAGAATTATAGCTCAAATTATATACAAAAAAAACTCGAACTTCTATAGTTTTATATTAAAAGAATCAAATTTCAAAGGTATAAGTAATTGCCTATCGAGGTAATCTCTGGACGCATTGCCATCCCATATATGAATGCCTTTCTCCTGAAGAATCTGTTGATAATGCCGAAAATAAGGCCACATTTGTAGGCTAAAACAAGATGCCAAAGCCACCAAATTACGGAAAATAAGATCCTAAGGTTGAGAACAAACAATGCAGATAAACCACAATGGAGTAGGTCTAGCCTACCAACCATGGTTGAGAACTGCCCAAGCCCAAGCCCAAGCCCACCGCTAGCCAATATTGTCCTCTTTGGACTTTTCCTTCCAAGCTTCCCCTCAAGGTTTTTAAAACGCATCTACTAGCGAGAGGTTTCCACACCCTTATAAAAAATGTTTCGTTCTCCTCCCCAACCGATGTGAGATTTCACACCGGAAAACTAGGGAGACTGTGTGATCACTTCTCATAAGTTTTCCTAAAAGGGCCTTTACACACCATATGTATCTTGCTACACAATGGATTGATGCTTGTACGAACCAAATCATACAAGGCCCCAAGCTATGAACCGAAACACCACAACCACTAAACCAAGAAAGCAAAACACTTATTCGCTTAGTTCCTAATTCCTAAACCAAGAAATTCTAACTCAACGTGCGGGGTGCGGGGTTGTATAATCACAACCACAAACTAGTGAAGTAAAGCTTTAAGTGCTAGTGATAGCATAGCGCCTTACCTTTGCATTGGTTGAGCCACTGATGAACCAAAGAAGTTCTTCAACAACCCCTCGCCAAAATACTTTCTGAAGGATCACGTGGTGCGAATATATGTCAACGACTAAACCATTACCATATATGATGCACCCAATTTAAGAAATTGGAAAATGGAAACAAGACAAGTAAAAAAGGGAGTTTTTCTTTCATGCTACAGCTACAAAGGAAACCAAAATACGAAACCAGCACATGCCTTAGTTGTAAGCAGCGGAAAAGTTTTGCGCAAGTTGTACCGCATCTGTACAGATACCATGAACAAGAGATGAACATGTAGCATTCGAAATAGAGCAACTTGTATAAAAGATAAATATGTCAAATAATAAGAAAGATAACATTACCTGGCAACCAAATTTTGATAAAGTACCCGTTCCCGTTCTATCATCCTTGGAAGTACCGTCTGAGATGATTTCTTGAACAAGTTTTAGGTACAAGTACTCCTCGTGCCTCTCGAAAATCTCCTTGGGTAGGAAAGAGAAGTTCTTATTAAAAGAATCGGGTTTGTTATGAGAGACCAGACCATTGTTCTGATCAATGGGTGGTTCGGTTGAGCTCCTCACACGAACATAACTAGTGAACGAATATCGTAAGTTATTTTCCACCATGGGAAAGGATGAGTACCATGGCTGAAACATAGACTTGTCAATAGCTGGTATGAAGGTGTCGCATTCAACGTTTGTCTCAATTTCAGTAACGTGGACAGCATCACACTCGGGGGCGTTCAGAGCTTCCCTGCATTAAAAACAGAATCAGTGCACCGAAACAAAAAAATAGTACACTAACGGAGGTCTCGAAAACAAATGCACACCTTAATATCTCACCACCACCTATAACAAACACTTTCTCTATTGACAAACAGTAAGGCGAAGCTGCTAATAATTCCAAAGCAGATGTCATACTACCACATATTATAACATTTTCGACAGTGGCAATGTCGAAACTTCCAGAACGAGTCAGAACAACATTGAGACGACCAGGTAGAGGTCGATACTCAGCCGGAATACTCTCCCATGTTTTACGACCCATTAGAACTGCATTCCTTTTCCCATGATCTGATGTTGTCGTGGTTATGTTCTTAAAAAATTTGAGATCAGAAGGCAACCTCCATGGTAGTTTCCCATCCTTACCAATACCCATATTTTCAGTAGCAGCTACAACGACTTGATAAGTCCTTCGCGGATTAGGTGGTGCATTGACATTGGCATTTCCATTCGAGCTTGTCAGAGGATCGGCAGCCATATTAGAACTAAAAACTTGACCAAACCTAAATAACGGTGACTTCAATGATTTTTCCCCGCACGCCCAGCTTCCACGGAAGTGCGGTAGAACCTGAAATTTAAGACAACCAGAAATCTTCAGAAATAAATCATATAGAACATGATCCAAAGGATTAAAGCATTCAAGACTCCTTTATTCAATAAACAACCACTTCCATTTCACAAAATAATCTTAAACTTATCATGAACTTGAAATACTTCAGCTTAATATAGATGAAGATTATAACTCTCCATAGACAGATGCCAAGGGGCACAGAACAAGATTTGTAAATCAAATCTAGATAATTCTGAAACCAATGAAATTGTTGGTTCACATTAACAAAAAAAAAAAAAAAAAAAAAAAAAAAAAAAAAAAAAAAA